AACCTAATTGCAATGGCCTCCAACCTAATTGCAATGGCCTCCAACCTGATTGCAGTGGCCTCCAACCTAATTGCAATGGCCTTTGACCTAATTGCAATGGCCTCCAACCTGATTGCAATGGCCTCTGACCTAGTTGCAATGGCTTCCAACCTAATTGCAATGGCCTCCAACCTAAGCGCAATGGCCACCAACCTAATTGCAATGGCCTCCAACCTACTAGTGATGGCCTTCAATCTACTAGCCAAGATTGAAGATGAACTACAAAATCTAAACTAGAAAAAAACTAGAAAAGAAAATAAGAAAATGTTACGCCTCTAACCTACTAGCGTTGGCCTCCTACCTGCTCGCATGTTCCTTTTTGTATTTTTAATGCCGCAGCACGGAGTGGGCTTCGAGGCATGGAGTCGTACCAGCGACCGGTCGCACCTTTGGGGTTTACAACGACTGGAGGACCGGTCAACCTCGAGCAGGCCATGGCGGTTGTCTCGGTGCATTTTTGGAGCTTGCGCCGACCGAAAACTTGATTCACATCGTGGCTCTTCTCCTTAAACGTTTTGTTTTTGTTTGTTTTTGTGCAGGTCTTAGTTCTTTTGTGAGCCAAGCTAGAGCCAAGCTGGAGCTGTGGGTGTCCTATGATCACCTCGTGAAGTTGTTGGTCTTATTCACCAAGGTGGCGTTCTTTCCAGAAGATGCAGATTGGGTGGTGAGCTGTGATACTATGTGGCACACCAGTGAGGTACTAGGGCGAGCAAAACAGAGCCTTGGAGAAGCCTTTACGGCTTCTTGGATTCCAAGAACAGAGGACACCAGTGAGACACCGTGCTGCACTGAAGGAGGCCATCCGTTCTAACCTCGTGTACTGCATCATGGAAAGGCATCACCCAGACCTATCACGTGTTGGGTTGTTGGAATAAGCACCACAAAGTCTTATCAAAACAAGAGTTCTTATTGGCTATACGGCTATAATTAAACAAGAACATCAACAAAAACCCATAGGAAGAGAACTTTGCGGCACAAAATCTTCCAAGCACGGAGATCTGAAGTGATCCGTGGCGGTGACTGAGGCTTGCCGCCAGAGACCCGCACATCTCTGCAGTAGCAGTCCCGTGGCAACGTCGCTGTCTTGTGAGATCACCGAAAACCTCACTTTGGATGAGAGCACGTTGGATGCGCCTTACAAGAGAAGCAACTTGTCGGTTTTGCTCAACGTCAGACATGTTGATTCACAAGAAGCTACTAGGGGCTCCTGGCATCGCTACTAGGATCAAGGACGCTACTAGGGGCTCCTGGCCTTACTACTAGGAACAAGAAGCTATTAGGTTGGTCAATTCGATTCTACCCAGTCACTGGAGAGCTACATAAGGTACTTGCAGGGAGGAAGACCTCACTGCTGCTGTGAAGGAAGCATTGGATGCGTACCGTGCTGTGGACTTCTCAACCAAAGCTTTTGTGGTGCCGGAAGGCTGTTGGGGTGCTCTCCCAATCTACGAAAATGATCCATGCACCTCAATTCATTCTGGCTTCAAGTTCTGCTCGGAAAACAAGTGGGATTGTGGCGTCTTCCTGGTAAACAATGACAGCTACATCGCGGAGGACTGGCCATGTCGCTGTGGAGTCTCAATTCCGAAGGCTGTTTGCTCGACCTCCGGTGACACATCTTGCAACATCACCAGGTCAGAGCCAGAGATCAACACGAGTTGCTTGATCCGGTCTGAGACCAGTCCAACGCCTTCCACAGCGACTGGTACGACTACGTCATCTACATCCCTTTCAGATGGCTTGTCTTCAGCATCAGGAGAGCGCCGAATTGGTGTGCCGTGGTTCTGCCTGCCTTTCGGACTTGTGGGAGTGCTGTTTTAAAGGGTTCATTCCGTTTTCAAGATTGGCGGTTCGACAATCGCCCAAGCTTCCCTAAAGGGGGGGTTATCAATATGCTTGGGGCATGCCAAAGGCATCCTCTTCCACCTTCAAATTAAGTAGATTGATTGTGAAAGAAAAACGTTGCCCTGTCGAGCAAAGGCAAGGGCTCATGTACTCTGTGACATGGATTCAGCTTCAGTAATTCTCCTGCAATTTGCTCCCTTGTGGCTCAGTCATTTTTGCATGCGCGGGAGGAAGAAGGCTGGCCGTATATCATTTTGTTGCTTCCTTGAGACATCCGCCGTAGTTTCCGAATCCGTCCTTGACCCCGAAGAGGCCAGCTTCATGGTGGATGCTTCGGATATTCAAGAGGGGTGGCCTTCCAGACATGTTTGTTTTACGTATTGAACTAATTGACAATTAGTAACTATTCAGCACTTGAATTAGTAAAAGTTCAGTTTTGATAGATTAAACTCAGCATGCTTGATTTGATTCCTAGATGTTTTCTTTGGCTTCTGTTGCAATTGGTGCAAGTGGCTACAATCTGGCCAGGCTGCAGCAAAACCTGGAGATATATCTGGAGCAGGCTTTGGAGGAACATGTTTTCAAAATTGAGATCGACAAGTTGGAAACAACATTTTCTCATGTTGAACTGGCGCAGGAAGCCCACCAGCATTTCATCCGACCAGTGGGCAGGGAGGAGGCAGAGGCCAACACTGCCAGCACGGCCTTTGATCTGCAAGCCAGCCAAGCAGCCTCGCACATCCCAGGCAGCCGAGTAGTGATAGTCACCACTGGCTCAGTGTGGGATCAAAAAGGACAAAGCCATTCGACACTCAACACGCACATGGAGAGTGTTGACTTCCTGATCAGCGAGGAGGCCCAACAAGACATGGATCTGAAGTCGGCATTTGCTAGAGGACTTGAGAGCTCACAGAACGCTCCTCCTCAAAGCTCCGATAGGGCTGCGAGCCCCTCATGCCTGGTATACTGCTCCATCACTGCCAAGGTTTCAGCCAAGACGACATCGAGCAGGCTGCAGACACTGTCAGTCGAGTGCCGCTGGGGCACACCTGGTTCCGACCAGAAGGTGCGGTAGAAGGAGATCTTGTCACTTCTGCAAATCACTTACCTGCAAAAGTGCGAGAACCACACATGTCCAGTATGTTGTAAAAAGGCCTTCACAAATCCATCAACCTTGGCAGTGCTTGAGCCGAAAGTTTCAGGGGGTGTGGGCCGGCTGTTTTTGTGTGGGCTTCTGGATCGTCTTAGACTGTAGCACACACCTATCAACACAGTGTGACTGTCGTTTGTCGTATTCCCAACAGCTGCAGCTCTAGCGATAAAAAGAATTTGCTCGCCTGCGCTCACACACCCATCCAACGAACGACCTCAAATACATCATGACAATCGATTTCATTGCAAACAGTTTGAGCCATGCCCATTTAATCTGAGTTGATGAAACCAGAGATCCCATACCGTTTACCAGCCTAGCATGGCATGTGTATGTCCCGGCAGCTCACCCACTGGAACCCCGACCGCGGGCACTTTGGTGCCGGTGGGCAGAAGGCTCAGCTGAGAATTGCTCAGTGGTGACAAGCCGAGAAGGCTAGACAAGGTGATTTTGTACTTGAGCATTGGCTGGGTAACATGTGTTGGCATAATCCTCTAGAGAGCCAAAAAGCAGCTTCCACTGAGGTGTTTTGAACCGAGCCAGGAGCGGATGGACATTTGCCCAAGGCTAGGCAAATGGTTTCGCTGGGATGGGCCATTTTTCATGGTTGGGTCTCCTTCGGTGTTTCCCTGTTGATTGGGTTCTATAGTATGTTGAGGACCGGAGAGATCCTGGGGATCCTCTCGTCCCACATTGAATGTGCACCAGGGGCCCTTCAAGCGTTGATTGATTTAGGCCTCACCAACGGTGGAAAGCGGCATGGTGCCGCTGAGAGCGTGGTCCTAGGGTCTGATGGTCCGAGCTTGGAAGAAGGTCAGCCAGCCTTCCACACCTCTTACACCCTCGCCCGCACGATGGAGAGCCCTGTTCAACCAGTGTATAGCTGAACTCAAGATAGCTGAACCGGGGTTTAGACCCTACTCATTACGTAGAGGTGGAGCCACGTTTTGGTTCCAAAAACACCAGAACCTCGACCGTATTTTAATCCAAGGTCGTTGGCATACCCAGAAAAGTGCAAGAATATATCTTAACGAAGGACTGGCAGTGCTGAGCCAGATGAAACTCCCGGCTACTGATGCACGTCTAAAGCCTTTCCTTACCGTTTTTAGAAACTTCCTGTTGAATCCCAGCATTTCCACACTTGAGCCTCCAGCCAAAGGCGGAAGGACTGGGGGACGTGGAAAGGCGAGTAAGAACACTCGTTCTGGCAGGGGAAAATGGTCCCATTTTTACCTTTTCTTTGGCTGCTTGGTCTGTGTTCCCCTCTAGCCTTAAAGGTCTAGGAGGCGTGGCTTGACTAAAGGTAGAGGGGACTAGGTAATTTCCTCTACCCAGGGAGTGGCCGGGTAGCTGGAATTAACCTACCTAGGGACGGAAGCTCCCAGGTCAGACCTAGCTAGCCTATTCTATCCTACTCTTTAATCTTTTGACAAACCAGCTGCGAAGTGAAAAACAAGTGGGTGCTTCAGACATTTTTATATATATGGTATATGTTTTATAAGATAGAAAAGTCGAAGCCTTTCTTTGAGTGGCCGTGTGCCATAGAGACCGTGGAACCAGTGCAGAGTTCTTTCAAATCATCACCTCAGAATGCGTTCTTATCTGTGTTTCTGGCATTTGTATGGACGGTTCATTCTCTAGCTCGTTTTTGCTTGAGCCGCTTTGGAATTGTGGGGGATTGGGATGGCATGAGTCGTTTTGCTCAGGGACAAACCGTTATGGCTATCCAGGACTTCGCAAACTTTAGCCGTGTTGCTTCTTCTTGGTTTGTTTCTGACATGGACGATGTTCTTGCCAACTTGCCTTGACTTGGAAGTTTCGTTAAAGTCGCTTCACGTTTGAAGGAGCTATTGGGCGGGGCGTTTCTTCGGATGGATCAAGGTGACCCTGAAGGAGCATTGCCTGAGCTCCAAGTTCAGAGCGTGAACAGAGCGAACACTAGCCGCTACACAGTTGATGAAGTGTGAATTCGGTCTTTGCGTGTCAATTAGGAGAGCAATGTGTTTCCAATAAAATTCCAGAACTGTAGGTGTTTTTTCCTTGCAGGCTCTCCGGATTAGTGCTGGATGCCAAGCTTCTTCAGGAGGTAACAATGCCCCTGTTGAGACGCATTTGGGATCCATAATGGGAGAAAGAAGGTGAGAATCTAGGAAGCAGATCAATCATGCCAAGGGTTCTTCAAGTAAGTGCAGGGGGTTGCGTCCCCAGAGTAGATTGACCTACCAACTTCCTTGCCCCAACCCCTCCCAGCCTCCCCACTACTGTTCTTTATCACGCTTTAGGCTGGCCCAGAGGCAGCCGCTTGGAGTGCTGCTCGACGAGACACCACGTTGCAGGCAGAGTAGACACGGTTGTTGAAGTGTTAAAACTTAAGATTTTTTGGTTTCACCAGTTCCGGTGACCGGTCGCTTCGATTCAGTTTGCGGAGGTCGTTCATCCCGAAACGGACTTCGTCCTCTCCGTTTTCAAGCGAAGAGTTCTTGAACTAGAGTATGTCTCACCATGGACCACCGTGTGCTCTCGCACCTTTGAGAGAGACCATTGTGAGGTACTATGTGGGTGTAGTTGTGGGTGTGTAGCAAAGAAAGGTCCAAGAGATGATGTTTGGAGTTGGGCGCCAGCAACGATTTTGTGCCATGAGTTTGGCGATTGGCCAAAAACGGACGATTATGAAAGGGTTGACCATGTTTTAGGGACTGTTGACCAAGGATGCTGCGCGTTCAGACTCCAATCTGCTTTGGCCTCGGGCGGGTTGGATCCACATCGAGTATACAACCAGCGGCCATGTGGTTGTCCAAGAGACCCGACTTTGCACCAAGTGCATTTTTGGGAACTTTTAGCCCAGAGGGTTGTTTTGCGAAACACGCAAAGTGTCCCAGAGATCCGGCCGCCCACCCAGACAAAGGCATTTGCAAGCTAGAATCTGAATTCAATGAAGGATTTTTAAGAGCAAAAGACCGAATCCAATAATCAAAGGCTAAAAACACATCAGTTTGATATCTACGCGATGCTGAACTTGCCACGTGCAAAGCTCATTGATCGTTTTCAGCTGGTACAGGTAAAAGTTTGGTTTTCAAGCGGCTACTCTTGCTGAAGGCATTTTCAGGTCACATTCAAAGCCCTTAAATGCTCCAGGTTTCTTGTAAAGGGAACGTGGAGAAATTTGAGAGTTCAAGAACTGGGTCAAGACTCTGAGTGAGAAAAAGGTGATGGACGTTAGGATCTCACCAGTCGAGAGCAAGACCATGCTTGACCTACCTAAAGGAAGGCTCCGCTGCAGCTTGGGCAGCAGGCCCCCAACTGCGGAGGTCGAGCTTTGTTCTTCAACAACTGCTGTTGCCCAATTGGTGATTTCAAAAGAGTTCAACACCCTCACCAGCCACAAAAGGTCAACACTGACTTACGCTTGTTCCATTGGCTAAAATTTGGGTGCAGCAGCCGACATGTCATGTCGACGATGCAAGGGTTGCTGGACACTTTCATGAAAGAATGTTGAGACCGGCTTGAATGTGGTGATTTCTCGCGTGATGTTTTGTCGGCGCGCGTCCAAAGCTTCGACAGATGGGATGAAGCTCGATGAAAGCTGGTGGACGGGGCCATCCACGTTGGGCAAAAGCAAATTGGACATATCCACTAAGGCCTTTCTAGCTATGTGCTCGTGCTGCTGGACAAGGCAAGAAGCTGGCTGTGGAAACAAACAACTGGCTAGAAGCTGGTATACCCAAACTTGTGCTTCACCAGGCCGGAGAAAATGCGATGACGACGATGCCGAAAAAATGGGCCACGCAACATGATGATACTAATGGCACTAATGGGGTTGGATTTGGATGATATGTACGGTACGTGTTTTCAAGTCCACAACATCCCCTTCTCATTTGAGTTTGTGTTTTTAACATCAGTCTTTCGTAGCCTACGTTTGGACCTTTGCAGTCGCGGAAGCTGCTCAAGCTTGGTGGAAGCACGTCTTGCACGCAAGGATGCGCAAAGATTTAGGCATGTAAGTAATGAACGAAAATAGAAGAGGGGTGATGCATCGCCAAAAAGGCGCCAAAGGACGCGGTGGTTTGCTCATCTCGAGAGCCATGGAAATGATTGATGTCCTCGTGTATACGCACAGAATCATGGACCTTTATCTCGGCAGCGAGGCGCGGTTCAATGGCAGCATTTGTAACTATACCATGGTTGTGGGAACCTTCGAGAACAAATCACACACCCGCATCAGTAGCGTTTTGCATTGCAGGTTAAACGCATCACGCTAGACATCCTGACCGTCAAAAAGGAGGCCCGGAGTGAAGAAAGAACAAGAGTTGGCGTAGGAGAGTTTTTTCAGCGATTTCTTGTGTTGTTCCCAGGTCCGTGGATGGGTTGCCTTCCTTTGTTGCTCTGGATGTTGCGGCTGTTCGGGCCCTATCGTTTGATGTCGTACATGCTAAGCTGAGTTTGCCCCCAAGAAAAACGGTCGCGACATCAAACTACAGGCGTCGCCGAAGTTTTGGCCGTTGTTCTTACATGTGGGGTAGGGTAGAAGCGAAGTTGGAGTTGGCAAGGCTGCAGTGTTGTGATGGCAAATATATTTGAAGGATGTGATTTCAATCCTTAAGTGCAAATGAAAACCATGTTTCAGAGTGCATTTTCCTATGTTCGTTTCTGCATTGGACGCTATGTCGCTGTCAGGCACACACTCGTAGCATGTTCAAGGGGCCTCCAGGCGTTCGAGACCAACCGGATCGGATGCTCAGTGATCTTCCAGCTTGCCCCGGTGCGGTATGCCGATGGTCATCGACCAAAAGGAACACGTTGGCCATGGTTGTTCCTGTTCCTTTGGGCGTCAACCGAAACACCATGGTTCCTGGCATTTTACATACAATTACGTGCATACGAAATATACATCCCATTTTGGTTTGGCCACTTTGGGCAATCTTGTTTTGCAAGGGCTTGTATTTGCAGTTGTTATTGGCAAGAGCTGCGGACATTGTCAAAACAACACCTGAATTTGAGACAAGCCACCGCGAAGCATGCATGGTTGCCCAATTCGATGCAAAACCACACTTAGCAGACTTAGCATGTGCTATTTATTCGACTAGCGCTTGATTGAACCTTGTCACTTGTCGTTTGATTCCTTGCAGTTTTCGTGTTTGATCATTTCGGGTGCGCAGAAGATCGGTGGGTTTCGCGACCACAACAACTTGTCGACAAAATCCCGCGCTCGTTTACCTTTTGATCAACTGATTGCTGAGAAATAGGTGCATCCAGAACTGCTGAGATTCCTTGAGCCTTGAGGTTGAGCTATTATATTCCGCTCGGACAAGTGACTCGGAACGTGAGATCGTCTTTGCAGAGGCCTGCCAATCTTTGTCGAAAGAGGAATCAAGTTTGTTGAGTTCAAGCTTGCCGGCACACATTCTTTGTTCCGGCTTCATGGTGAGCTGGTTTCCAAGGTGATGCCTCATACAACAGTTGGACATGTTCCAATTTCTATCAGGTGTTGAAATTTGAGTTAGTGTTTTTTACATCAGTCTTTCGTAGCCTACGTTTGAACACCTTTGCAGTCGCGGAAGCTGCCGAAGCTTTGTGGAAGCACGTGTTGCACGCAAGGGTGCACTCTTCAATCGTAGCATCGACCCTAGAATGCCGTTGGATCTGAATTCATGTTCAAACTCCCTTCTTCGGGTTCTAGTTTGATTGTCGAGGAATGCACCTGTCATAAGAACATCAGTGAACAGGGAAGAAGCTCCAGACGTCAAACGCAGAAGGGTGAATGGCCACCGCACCGCCGTAGGATGGTTCTTTGACGGTGGAGCAGCTGACAACCCGCAGTGGCAATGTGGCGGAAGCCCTCCGAAGGGTTCAGCAGCTCTGCTGAGTCTAGGGGTGGGATCAGAGGATGCAGATACCTCTTGCCCAACACAACGGTTCTGAAGAACAGCATCTAGATTCATTTATGGAGAGGGCAAAGCTAAAAGAAGACCGAAGACGGCTGAAAGAAAGTGATTTGGGCCTCGTAGGCCACACAACCCAGACAGACTGCAAGCTTCGGAAGGATGATTTCCAAAGCGGTGAAACAATCGGCATGCAAACCGCAGTGCTAGGAAACAGGAGCAAACCTGTGCTACGCATCCAGCCTGAAAACCACTTGTCAGATATGAGGAAGATCGTTTTCCAGTGGTTCATTTTCAGGTTCCATATCATCTTCAACCGACGGTAGCCAAAGTGTATTGCGGGACTGCCTTACATTCGAAATAGAAAAACGCCACGGCCACTCTTTTGCCAGTGCGACAGGTCGTTGTATAAGCATCATGCCAAGCTCTTCAGAGTGTAGGAAGTGCAGGACAGGACGCATGATGAGAAAACCGTATTCACGGCAACATCAAAGAGGCCCATGAGACCACCATGTCGGACTAATATGCCTTGCACACGAGCAGCAAACCACTCAGACAACTGTCCTGCTTTCCAATTTTGCCATGTCCGTATTTGTTCCAATTCTTTTGCATGTGCTGGTGTTGGTGTTAGGGCGGACTGAACTACTCCGTTTCCACATGAGTGAGTGACACCCTTCCAAAGGGCTTCGGGTTGAGAGCAGGTCTCACTTCGTGGCGGTTTGCCTACCCCGTGGTGGGCCTCTTGAGACCAGACCGGGATGGGTTCGAGTCATCGGAGTGTTCACGCTTGTAAATTCTAGTTACTACTAATAAGGCACTTGTTCCTACTAGTAAGGCACTTGTTTCTACTAGCTTCTTTGTTACTACTAGGCACTTGTTACTAGTAGCGATGCACCTAGATAGTTCCTTTTTGCACAAGGAAAGGGCGTTTTGGTGTTGTTTTTCAGTGTGTTTAGAAAGGGCGTGATGGTGGCCCCTTTCTGCGCTTTGGTGGGAAATTCAGGCCTTGCCTCCAATGTGTTGTCTCTGTATACCATAACAAACTGGTGTATTTTGCCCGCTCCGTGAGGCAAATCAAATTGATGATTCTAGTGACTAGTGTTGGATAAGAAGATTTGCTATAGCAACGTGGAGCTGCAGGTCCTGGGCTCATCGTCGCCTTGTTAGGCGTGTGGCGTGCCAAGAAGGCCAGGAAGAGACATAATTTTAGCGGGTTGCTTCTTTGGCAGTTGATGCGAGAGTTGAGTTCCTGGGCAGTTGATGTGACTCGTGTACAAGTTTTGGACTATTGTTTCTGTAAAGGCTTCGTAGTAGGGGGCGAGTTTGGCGACAGTTGATGCACGCAATCATCCTATGACTTAGCATCTTGCCTCTAAAGATGTAGTCGAGTCCAAGACAGAGGCATTGCAACAGCACATGTTCCTCTTTACTTGTGTTGTCCTTCTTCAGGCCTTTTAGGACATTCTAAAGCTTTCATGTGTCCTGTTATTTTATGATGTTTTTTCTGGGTTGCATTGGTTTTTGACTTGCAAGAGGTAAGGACATCCAGGATCACCAGCAAAATGCCAGGCCTATGTGCCATTGGAGCCGAGCTTTCCTCTACAGCGGATTCGGTTCATCCTTGAAGATTCCGAGGCAATTTGTTGTGCTTAAGGAAGCCATTTGCTTATCTTCAGTGTGGTTTGTTTGATGTTTCGCTAGTTGAACCAAGGCCTGAGATTGCACAAATCTTGTCTGTCTTTTGGGGTGTCACTTACCAGGTGTTCATTAAAATCTCGATGTTTGACTCGTTGACGGTCCCAAAACTGCAAACCTTGGACCGCTCAAACTTCCTTGTCACTTTTAGGAAAACTCGACTCGCACTTGGCACGTGGCACTCATGCGTTCACACGAGGCCTCGGTGGTGATCACGGAGCGCGGCAGCGAGCCGCCGGCTTCGTTGGAGTGGCCTCGTTTGAGGCGAAGCGGCGTTTTGTGCAAAACCTGTTTGTTCATTCTCCTGAGCCCAGGGAAATGATGTTTGTTGAAACCTAATAACCCCAAGAGCATGTGTTTTTTCAATCGGGCTACTATTTTGCAGTGTATCAGGATGGAAGGAAAGAAGGAAGGATGGGTCAAAATTCACCAGGGAGGACACAAACTTAAGTTGCTCATGCTGCAGGTTGCAGTGGCCCAGTGGAGAGCCTGAAATGGATGAGGAACCTGCTCCCGCACCCGCCGTTGAGCAGGCTGAATCGTTTGTTAGACATTGACCCCATGTGTTTTGGTGTGTTAGCCGTGCACGGACGCTCCAACGAGGGTTGAGGTGTGGATGCGCCATGTGCCAGTTTGCGCCATGTTCCTTCGCTTCACCAAGCTTCGCCTCCCGGAGGTGACGCATTTGGCCTATCTCATTTACACATCGGGCTCCACCGGAACACCAAAAGGACAGATGATATTGTGGTTTGTTGGTGGGTTTGAGGATGTATAATTGAATCTACCGAAGGTGTGTATAGATTGAGTATGGTTCAAGTCTGAATTCTGAACCCTGCAGATGTGGGGAACATCCCAAATGTTCCTTTCTTATCTTTCTTCTTTGTTTTCGTTCATGTGCTGTCCACATCTCTTGTGAAGATTGTGGCTCCAGAATGTTTGGGACGCTGCTTTCCCTCCCTTGCTAGAAGCAAGAATGCGTGTCTCTATGTCTTTTTCTAGATGTTTTAGGGAATTGAAACTGTCTTGTCATTTTCTCAGCAGGGCAAAGCGAAACAGGCAGGTGATTGCTCCATGCGATTGGACATTGAGAAGATCCACACTCGCCCCAAACAAAGAACACAAATGCCTTCCAGAATGCTGTCGCTAACTTACAAGAATGCAAAGGCAGGACAGCCAGTTGTCAGCCAGGAGTTCTCGTGCCGCATTCTGCGGTGGCCAACGTCCTCAACGCTTTCGAATCCCTCCGCAAGGCCGCCCCACAGGTGATGCTTAGAGATATGCTTCGAGATGTCTTTCCTTTTTGCCATGCCTGTTCTTGTGGAGAACGGTACTACCATTCTCTTGCACGCTAGATGTCACTATGGGTCACTTAGTGAAACTACCAACAAAAATGATTAGTTATTTTTTTAAACTACTTGGGTCTCAAACACAAGTTCGTCGGCATAGGATGAGGTGGTGTTGATGGGTTTGCTGAGTTCAGTTTCTGCAAGTCACTTGTAGTAATCGCTCGGAATGCAAGAGAAAAACAAGCTAAAGTAGCTAAAGGATTGCAGGATTAGGAAAATGAGTTTTGCTGCATTAGTGGGATTCTTGTGCATCACTAGAGAGCCATGCTGCCACACAATTGTTCAGTGGCCTTGGGTCAGGAGAAGAGCACGGAGGATGTCCTCCTGTCAGTGACAACTTTCTGCTTCGATATCTCCGTGCTGGAGTAGGGCCACCCAAGTCGTCCGGACGACTGCCTGTTGACAGACAAGGATCCAGCCAGAAAGCTGTCAAAACAACAAGAGCGTTCAGCCCGCTTGCACAGGTCTGTATTTCCCCGCAAAGGCATTCCGCCAGCAGGGTGTATATGAAATACGCAGGAAATCGACTTGGTAGAATGAAAGGCTGTTCCACGTGTTTTTACACCAATCCTTTTTTGCTTGCTCTTATGTGCCTTTTTGGCAGACCTTTAGACCTTGTTTGCTTCCTTTTTTAAAGCTAATTTTGTGTTCGCACCGTGAAACGCAAGCTTGCTCAGTAGGGCAACAAGTGTCTTTGGAAAGATCAGGACGGTGCAACTAAACTATAAATGACTATAAGTTGAGCATCAACCAGTTCCAGAAGCGTTTGACTCACTTTTCTACCCAGCCAACAAGCAACTCGTTGAAGCCCGCCGGATGTAGGAGATAGCGGGCAAACGCAGGTTGTGGTGACTTCCAACATCTTCCAACCACGGTAGTTACTCATCCTTTTCGGGACGTCACTATCGAGTAGTGTCCTTGCTCCTAGTAGCGATGTCAGGAGCCCCTAGTAGCGTCCTTGCTCCTAGTAGTAAGGCCAGGAGCCCCTAGTAGCGTACTATCCACACGTGTTCATGGCAATGGTGAATACCCAATCCGCGATGAGTCTCCATGAATGGCTGAGGATGTTCTGGCCACTTTGCTATGGCTTCAGCCGCTGGGTTTTAGTCCGTTGACACGGCTGTTGTGTTGATGAGGGTCTTTGGTACCTCGTGTGGTTGTACCCGTGTGAGAGAATTAGAAAGGATCAGAAGAGAACCAGAAGTTTGTCAAGCAAAGTTGTTGATCTGGCAATGAGCCAATCCTGCTGTGGGAGGATGACTCACTACCCACAAGTACCAAGATGCTGGAAGATGTTTGGAAGCGTCCGAAAACGTGAAAGATCCATTCAGCCAACTGACATGGACAGAGTCCCAAAAGCCACAATGTCTTCAATAAGTCCCCACAGCCATGAGTGATTTGGTCACTCTATTTCAAAGACCGAATTATTAATCCCGCTGCCCTGTGAGGTTGGTGAAGATACCAAAGAGATCCTAGTTGAAAATGGACACTGAGCACACCTTTCATTGTGAGAACCTCTGATGATGATCCCTGGTGGTGTTGGGGGTTTGATTTTCTATTTAAGAGAGGATGAGCATATGCTAGATATCGTACGGCAGGCGTGAGTAGACAAAACTCCAATTGTATCATTTCGTCGCCTGTCAGGGACGCCTTGCCCATTTTCGCCATCGCTTCGTGGGAGGCCTTCACCTAGCCTCTGCCGCTGAAAGCCGCAGCGGAGCGTTGCTGCGGCAGCGTTTGGAAGAGCTCAGCCGGAGAGCCGCAGCACGCGGTGGCCAAGTCATTTTCCAGGCTGAGACAGAGCGATGTGTTATGAGCGTTTGGAGATAGAGGATCAGTTAGTGCGAAATGAAACGGTTGCATGGCCTTTTGGTGCAATGTTAATGTGTCTCTCTCAATGCGCCAACCCTGCTCTGGTCACTTCCCATCACCAGCTATCAGCTGCTCATTCTCTGTGGCAGAGGCAACTCCAAGCAGCTTCAGAGGCCTCCTCAATGCAGGCGATGCATCCTGCTGAGCTGTGGGTTGTCAGTCCAGCTTTGTCCTTTCAAAGCCCCCGCAAGCTTAAACCGCCTGTCCATCTCTTTCGGCTCTAGCCAAAATAAAGAGAGGGTACTGTAATGCATATATTGTAAGAAGGCCTCCTTTAAAGGCGCCTGAGGGGCCCTGTACTTCTTTGTTGTTTTCTTCAACCGCCAAACACACGAGATACATGTCACCTGGCCACCAGTTGGAGATGGTTTCCGCAAACTGACGGTCGAAGTTCATCCATCCCCATGTCTGTGTGCTTACAACAAAGAGTGATAAATGTTTACATCCCACACGCAGCCATAAGACATGTTGATTCAAAAGCAGCACTTGAATCTCATGAACGCAGTTGTCCACCATCATTTCCAAGTAGGGTAGCTAATGTTGGTTGACTCACTTCGGAAGCAAAGGCTGGCAAGGCGTTCACAACAACGTCTTCGCTATTTGCGGCGGGGAGGTGGAGCCAGAAGTCCGCCCGTTCGACAGCGGACACATCTCGGTAACACCCAACAGCGGAAGGAGGCCCACTTCCAGAAGATGGCTCTGTTCGGCCCAATTAGAAAGTCACCTGCGCCAAGCGCAGGTTGACCATCCAAGAAAAGAACGGATGTGTTTGACAATTACAGTGTTTGAATGCAGATTGTTGGTCTTCTTTCCGCTGGTGTGGGACTGCGTCTCGCATGACCTATAGGCAAGAAGTGCAAACACGGCAGCTCAATTTCGTTGCGCTCATCTGGACACAAATCAAATCAACGACCTTAAACTTTGCTCGTTTTACAAGAAGATCTCTTTGGATTAGCTTTCTTCATAGTCTGACTTGGAGTCGCTCAAACATCGAGAGGCCTTCCCAGATGCCTTGCTCGAGCCGTTGAGCCTGCGCTGTGATCAGCTTTGGCTGCTTTGGCCGAGAAATTGTGCATCGGTTTGCTGCGTGAGGCTGTCACAAATGTGTGTGCAAATCGATAGGGGAGGACCTTCTTCATTGTAGGGGGCCGTGGTTCAAAATGCAGAGTTGTTGAGTTTTTCATGTTTGTAGTTGTAGATGACTAGCCAGACCTGCATGGCAGAACGGAACAATGATTCCACAAACAACTTGACGCAATCGAAGTCCTTGAGAGGACCCATGTTTGGCTTGCATCGTTGCCGGCACGACTTGTCGCTTCGAATTATGTCCCAGCGCCTCCAGGGCTTTGGGCAAAGGCGGCCCCCAAGTGCACCTGTTACGTTCGTAGCTTTTTGTTCCTAGTAGCGTCCTTGTTACTACTAGTAAGGCACTTGTTACTAGAAGCGATGCACTTGTTCCTAGTAGCTTTTTGGTCCTAGTAGTAAGGCCAGGAGCCCCCAGTAGCGTCATTGCTCCTAGTAGCGATGCCCTTTGCTCCATTCGTAGCTTCTTCTTCCCACTGAGGAATGCCTACGGCCCTACTGAGACCACCATTTGGTCGGCAGCCTTTGACGTCTCCAGTGCTGGGGCTTTGTCGTCGCTTCGGCCAGTGCCCATCGGGACACCCATCGCAGGCGGATCCAGTCCGGCAGGTTGCGCAGTGACGTGCAAGGTGAATCTTCTAATTCTTGTTTCTACTAGCTTCTTGTTACTAGTAGTAAGGCACTTGTTACTACCAGTAAGGCACTTGTTACTAATAGCTTCTGTATGTTCTGCCCATCCTTTGATTCTGGGAAGCTAGGGGTAGTCAAGGAAGACTATGCTTTTGTTCTCTTTCTACCAGGGACTGACCTGATGGTACTTGCTGAAGAAGGTGGGCCAGTCCGGGATGGTGAGAGCATCAAGACATTCAAGAGAAAAATAGACACTGTGGTGTGGTTGATGGTGCTGCACATGCATGAGCGCTCATTTTCACCAGAACACGAAGGCGAGGTCAATGAACACTTTTGTGTCATCATCCAATACCGTGGGGCCTCCAGAAAGGCAGCACAGCAATGTCGGTCGCATGTCAGTGATTTGTTCAAGGATTACCAGTTGCGTATGTTGTGTTACGCTCTTAGGTTGGAGGCCATCGGTACTAGGAGCAAGGACGCTACTAGTAGCTTCTTGTTCCTAGTAGTAAGGCCAGGAGGCCCTAGTAGCGTCTTTGCTCCTAGTAGCGATCGATGCCCAGGATCCCCTAGTAGCGTCCAAACATGTTTCTGTGCAATTCAAAAGGCGCAAACATGTTTGGCATTGATGATGCAAATGACAAGATGAAGTAGAACAACAAGAAGGACGGTACTAGGGGCTCCTGGCCTTGCTAGCAAGAAGCTACTAGGAACGGCATCGCTACGAACGGAGCAAAGAAGTCAAGAACATGTCGGACCAAAGCTTTGACCTTCTCCGAATCGATGGCGATCATGTGGGCTCTAGGAATGGCCGGCAGCGAAAGGGAGACACAGTATGACGTGAACAAAAGAGAGAAAGCGAAAAAACGAGAGAGAGAATGAAAAGAGATTCAAAAATTAAAGAAAACCTAATAGCGATGGCCTCCAACCTAAGAGCAATGGCCTGAACATCAGGCTAAAAAGATACGACAGCTTCGAACAAGCCCACATCCCATGAGTGTCTCAGTGCCGAATTCCTTGAGTGTTTTGCCGACCTTTCATGGCCCTATGGCTTGAGAGCTTGCTCCAAAGATAGGGCGATGCAGGGCTTGCGTTACCCGTGGGGCTGTGCAAGGCTCATCCTGAGCGTATCGTTTACTGTGTTTGGGCTTTAAAAGTCTTCTTTTTGTGCCCCAGGCCACCCCGCAATCATCCAAAATCTACATGGCTGAAGACCAAAGCAGTAAGTTGTCGGGGAAAGGCGCAGAATCTCACAGGCAGTGAACGGAATGGATTTAGCCTTGGCAACTAGTTGGGGGTTGATCGGGGTTGATCACTGATCGCTCAAATTCCACACATCATCTCTCTTGGTCCAAAAAAAGGTCCTTTCAATCAACCCTTGCAATTGGGAGTGCTCACGTCTGGGAGATGTCATGAATCCCGGCAGTGCCTTTTTGTGTACATGACAAACAGGTCATTTCGCTGCTGAGACTTGTGGAGTTAGTATGTAATACCAATCATCCTCGACAACGTTATACTGAGTGATACTCAACAACGGTAAAGTCTTGCCTTGCCACATCTTGCGAGTTGCAATCCATGGGTTCTAGATGGTAATAGTAGCAAGGAAACCACTAGGGGCTCTTGGCCTTACTACTAGGAACAAGAAGCTACTAGGGGCTCCTGGCATCGCTACTAGGAGCAAGAAGCTACAAGGTGGAAGCCAACCAACTAAAGCCAACTAGGTGGAAGCACGGCTGAGAGTCACCGAGTGGGTTCCGTGAGGTTGTAGGTTCCAAGTGCACAGGTTCTGGTGTGTTCCAGAAGGTTAAAAACGTGTATAAAAGGAAATGCGCTTGATTTGGGGTGCATTGCGCTTGATTTAGGGTAAGGTTTCTGGCCTCTGAATGCTGACAAGCTGCAGCACTTCAGGTTTGTTTGGCTTTGTTGGGAATCCTTCCACTTGAGATACAAATATCATCGATCGTCTTGTTGGGCATCCTTCCACTTTTTGACATACACATATCATATCATACATCCTCCCTCCACCCAAAGGGACACCACCCACTGCCACGGCCGCTGGTGCTGGTGGCATCTTGTGGCAATCTGGAGCAGCCAGCCTGCAAGGCCAGGTGGAAGTGGAAGTGGAGGAAGGTGAAGATTTTTCAGTTAGTGTTTGATCCATCATTACTTCTGGATTTGAGTGGGAGTGAGAGTGGGACTCTTGAGGGGAGTTGATTGGTTTGAGTTGTGGTGATGTTAGTTCATCCACCTCATTCTTTGGAGTGACAACTATATAATTGCAGTGTGCCATGATCAACTTTGTCAGTGACACTCATATCTCCATCATTCTCCATCAAATGTGGGTCCAAATGCCATGTTCAAGCAAAAAGTCTGAACATTGCAGAGTCAGCCACTGCCAGTTAGGTGAATGGGCTGTTGTTGTGACATGGGCCTGCTCAAAATCTATTGGATGATCCCCACCATAATGTCAGGGTTGGTGCTCTTTTCAGATTTACCTTTGACACAAGTTGGCAATTTACATAAATTCTAACAAAACTGAGTACCTAAAATAGTCATCCTGTTATTTGTCCTTGCATCCTTTCCAACATCTTTTGACTTTGTGCAAATTGCCAGCATTTGTTTGCCATAATTTTGGGTAGCCAGCCCATGTGTTCTGACATATGTTCTGATATTCTGTTTTGCCTGTGTGTCCATATTGCTCTTATATTTTAAAGCTGCAGTGTTTTTTTCACTAGGACATTCTACATCTCTCTTTTCCATATTGCTTGGCATATATTATGATATCATTATTATCTTTGGGATTCATCTTTTTTCTTTTCATTCATCCTTTTGCTCTTTCTCTAAATGGCCCTGGCATTCTTTCTGATGATATGGTCAGGTCAGGACTGAGCTATCTCTCCTCTTAGAGCAGAAGGCGGGAAGAAGGAAGGAAAGGTGGACGGGCTGACTGGCGTAAGGCAAAGACACTCAAGTCACAGAAAATTGAAAATATGTTCTTTAAAATTTTGGTTCTATTGAATCATGTGCTATGTGTTTACTCTTATGTGGCTGTTCAGATTGACACCACTAATCATCAAACAAAAACGCCCAAGGGACAATACGTCATGTGCATCTTTGTTGTGCGTTGTGCTAGACACCAAAAAGTTAATGATAGTTAATGTGTGCCTGAATTGTCTGATTCCCTGATGGTTGGATGTCCATTATTTGATGTTCCCCATTGCTCGGTTTGTGAATTTGATGTACCATAATCATAATGTATCGTGATGAGTAATTACACATTTATCAACCTGGTGTTATGTTTGGAAGAACCAGGGGAGGCATTGAAGAGATTGGTCTCAATAGGGCTCTGGTCCAGCTAGCTTCCCATGAATTGTATAATTGGAACTTGGCAACTTCATGCGCTGAATAGCTGCTATTGGCTATCATTGGCGAACATCGATAAACGATTCAATGTATACCATATATGCCATACATCCGGACCTTCTGACCTTGGTCTCCATCAGTCCACGGCTTGGTCCATGAAAAGCCCCACCAGTGGCCTTTCTGATCATCTGGAGACCTCAAGGATTGTTGCTGGTGGGTGTTGGGTAGTGGGTAGCCATGGCGTTGGAGCTACCCCCGGATGATGATGTGGGCCCTGAGATCCTCATGGAAAAGGGTACTTTGTCAATGAGTTGCCCGGTGGTAGACCTGGTGACACCTTCTCGTGCTATCCAGCGGCTACCTAGCTTGGAGTGCCTTGACAAGGGGTATTATATATTTTATTGTTTTATTGATGATGGCAACATACATTGTAAAACATGATTGCAGATTACAATAATGGATGACCTTTTCCCCAACTTCCAACCACTTCCAACCTTAAAACTGATGACCTTTCCAACCCTGTTTGGAAACCAAGGACACCACCCGATAAACCGATCTACTGCTGCAAAAAGGGATGTGTGGCACAATTTCGGATGGGTGACAGCAGGATGAAGCACCTCAAAGATTCTTATCTTGAAATCAGATCATTGTTTTAATGCTATGTGTTGCAATTTCAGGTTGCAGGCTGAAGGTTTGAGTGATTTACTGCTGATGCTTGTATGTATGGACATATAGATTCTATACATGTGATATGTGTATGTTTAATGTGATGTATTCTAAGATGATTATGCCACATCTTTTTCATATTTTAAACTCTTAGCCCTTTATGTGTTTTACCCTTCTAGGACTTTTGTGTGTTTGACCCTTCCTGTGATCTCATCTCAACAACAACCCTCAATGTTGCATGTCTGAGGGCCTTCGACAAACTATGGGTCCAATGACTGGGCATGATCTGAATCAATTCCTCCTTGGCCAATTGAAACAACTGGACCGATTGGTCCCTGACTCCAACTTCTCTGACGAAAAGGATGTTGCTTGACCATAATAACAATCCTTTTTATTCTATTGTTACTTGATTGGTGTCAGCCTTTACCCATGTTCTATCCTGATCTTTTTGGTGGTCCTCTTCTGTTCAAAATCACCCCCTTGTATCCATAAGTTGCTCAGGTCCAGAAATCTTGCCCGATCAAGTTCCAAATATGTGGCTTCCAGCTATGTGAGAAGGCTTGGTGCGTTCTCATGGGTGTCAATGAGAAGAGGGTGACCTTGTCTAAATTGGATTTGAATTGAGCCCCCTTTTACTTGTTGGCAGCCACTGCCAAGAGTCCAAAACTTTTGATTGGGCAAATGGTCTGTTCTTATGCAACACTGATTGATGTGTCTAGTACCACTGTATCACCTGATGCAATACTGTATCACCTGAGGTGAGACGGCTATCATCGGGTCTTCTGACCAACATTGTGCCAACTGATATGCGCTCCTACAATGGCCGAGCACCAACGGGGAAGAATGATTCAGTGGATGGATTCCTTGGACATGTTTACTGGCACCTGGCATCTTTCTTTGGATTTCATCACCTTTTTTCACTGTTGGTGGCTTGTTGGTGTGCCATTTTACTTGAGTGAGATTTGCAGCAAACATCAATGATATCTGTTTTATCAGCATCCATTTGGTGCTTGATGATGTCATGCTTCTATCTATCTATCAAGTTGGGTTTGAATGTAATTATGATTTGATTTGCCACTCCCTAGTCAAGGCAGAGCCTTTGGCTGAAACTGCCCCTATCGAAGAAGTCTCTGGTGCAGCGCTATCATCCTCTGGCATTTTTGTCCCCAGCCTTTTGGCTTGAATTGTTGCAACTTGACATATGGTTTTGGATGTCTCTTTAATCATCCACTGAATAATATTATACATCAAGAATGAGACTAGTCACCTGCAAATTGTCTAATCTTAATTGGCTGTAAGATGACTACCTTTTGGCATCCATTCTTTGTGTCCCCTGACACGACAAGCTGTTGCCCCCTTTTCATTTCTGCCCAGGTGCCACTGACTCTGACCTTCCGGAAGCTCTCCTTGGTGGCGCTTTGCATTTCAATGCTGAGTCATTGAACCAGAGCAACCCAGTGGCTGCTGCAGAGCTTATGGGTGCTGGGGCAAAAGACAGCGTCTAGTCTCAGCCTGGCTTAAATTGTTTTCTATGATTTGTGATTCCACCAAATGATTTTTGGAGACAGGCTGCAGCACTTCAACCTTGAAATTGTTACTTAGTTTTTACAACCCATTTGAAAGGTTTTATGGGATTTCATTAAACAGATCCCTGATCTCATTTGTCCTAGGTGGGTTGCAACCACGACACCTGCAACATATGTCAATGGAGGGGTTCTATGAGCTCTACCGTCTATGGGCTGGCAATGCTGAGCCTACAGAGATTGCAGGCAGCCGCCTGTTTGCAAGCATCTACCAAGAGCGCTGGAGGGACTTGATTCGTTTCAGAGAAACAAGTCAGCACGCCAAGTGCCCTGGCTATAATATGAATGTGTCTCAGAGATCTGACTTTGCTGATATATATATATATAATATATGATATTATGGTGATTTTCTTTTTAACATTCTATGACTGATGACTAAACCAGGGGCTGATGTATAATGTACTCAGTCAGGTGCACTCAGTGCAGTGAGTTCACCAGGAGGATTCGCAAGGCTTCTTTGCAACCTGATCGACAACAGCTGGAGAAGGCGCAAAGCGAACACATCAAGAATGTCCGGATGTATCGACAGACTCAGAGCAGGCTCAATGCCCTGAGTGAGCAGGCTACAGGGACCAATGGTTCATCTACTTCCATCCTCAAGCTGGACATTGATGGATTGGATCAAAGCAAGACTCGATATCCAAGGCTGAATTCGATCAATCCCAAGTCGCTGACCAATGCATGGCGGCCCCAGATCCATGTATTGGGATGCATCATTTGGGGAGTACCTTGATTGGATAATGCTGGTCATAATTAGATGGGACCTGTAGCCTGCTCACTCAGGGCATTGAGCCTGCTCTGAGTCTGTCGATACACCTGGACTCTGGACTTCTTGATGTGTGTTCGCTTTGCGCCTTCTCCAGCTGTTGTCGATCAGGTTGCAAAGAAGCCTTGCCTGCCTTCACCTAAAACTGATTAGGTCCAGGTCCACTAAGAATCTTTGACTACAAAAGGGATGGGCTGACCCAATCTGTTGCCACCAAGGTAGTGGAATCTTACTTTGTCCTGGAGCCAGATGTTCCAAAGGATTCCAGCACTGAGATCACTTGCATCCTTCGAGCCCTCGACCAGGCCAAAGAAATCTTGGACAAACGTGGAATCCCGATTCCAGAGCATCTGATCATCGAGGTTTGGGTTTGAGCAACAATCCAAAGACCAATTTTATTTCTTTGGTGTGTCAAGTGTTTTTTTGACTTGTATTTCAACATAATTAATAGTCAGAATGTGAATGCATCTCCTGCTAACACCCTGTAGACTGACAATTGTGTCCGGGAGGGAAAGAACCAAGTGGTGGCCAAAGCATCAGCATCTGCTGTTGCCTCTGGTCGGTCTCTTTGATGTAACTGGACTTATGGTTTTTCTTTTGATCCATGCCCAATCCCATCATCCAAGCCCAATCCCATCATCCAAGCCCAATCCCTGGATCCAAGGTTCCGATCAGTCACACATATCTTCGGGGAGGTCGGACACACGCACGGACCAGTCGACCAGAGACTTAGTGTTTGCACAGCAGTGTTCAGCTCTGCTGACATCATCCAAACACCTGAGGACTGTTCTGGGGGTACCTGGCTGAACTCTGAGGTTGTTTAATGGTCACTCCAGGTAAATTTTTATACTTAAAACTATGCACCAATGTATTCTCTCTCATTGGGCTTGCCCTCAAGGACTTTGTGAAGCTCATCCTTGAAAAGGTCACGCCCTCGCGCAAGCGTGAGTTGAGAGCCGAGATCTTGACCGGGAGCCTGAACTGGAAGCAGTATTATGACCAATATGAGATCCAAATGTCTGGGTTGGTCCCACGCAAGAACTCCAACCTGAGTGTGAATCATTGCTGGAGGTTCATCCGCCGGTCAGCCACTTTGGATTGGCTTTTGAGTAATCTTCTTGGACTTTTTGAGTCTTGTAACAGGTATATCATTGTCAATACATGATTCAGTTGTAAGTTTGAACCTGGGTCTGACACACAGTGCTTTATGATATATCTCAATCAATTGCATCTCTGCTCAGGATTTGCCTCTCTATGATGATCGGTCTGGAGATTCGTGGAAGCCTACTGAGATCCCCAAAGATGCTTTGGTTTTGATATGACATATCATGACACAGTGTAGTATTTTATGATTTGTGGAGCCCTGTTTGATCTTTGGGGTGTTTTGGAACCCAGTGGCATATTGATTTTATGTTTTTCACAAAGTAAGGAAGACTACAAGCATTGTGATACTGATTGCATTCTGCTTGTGAAGCACCTGGTGAACTCGCAGAGTCTTTCACAACCACCATTGACCCTTCTTCCAGCTGAGTTCCTGAAGAAGATCCAGCAGGAGTTGGAATCCCTGCCCCGCAACATCTTGAGTGATCGGGCCAAGAAGGAGTTACATGGCTTTCATTCCCATCAATTGTGTAAGATAATCTGGTGTCTGGGTTTCCATGGGCCTGGAAACAAAACTATAATAATATATATATTTCCTATATCACAAAACCTTATATCATGAACCCCACTTCCTTCTCTCCTCCAGTCCAAGTTGCAACTGTCATTGAGGTTTCTGAAAACGGCGGACATGGTGGAGCGTGAACCTTGGGAGCTTGTGCGGGCAGCGAAGTGCTTGCGGGAGTGGGTGGTGCTTTGGTGTCAGTTGGCAAACTTGTCCTTCAACTTTCAATGGGCAATGTTGGAAATCATGTTCAATGTTTTTCTTTAAAGATTCATATTATATATGTTCATTACTATTCATGTCATGATTCAGGATGCCAATGTCCGCAAAGATTGGCAATCGGTCACTATGCCCACATGGTGGTTTGCAAATGATGTCCGAGAGCTTTGCATCACCCCAAATCCTGAAGGGTCTCTTGGATAAACTTTTGAGGTTGCAGCTTCAGTTTAAGATAACATCATGTTATGACCAACAAACTACTATGATGTTTTGCCCTGATTTGGTAACTTTCAAGCTTTGGGAAAGTCAAAAGTTGAGGGGTTTGAGAATTGATCACTGCATTTAGGTGGGAGCGCTTTGCACCTGGACCAGTTCAACCTGTGTATATTGCCCCAGCAAAGATTCCAGCTCCTGAAGATGGTGAGCCAAAGAAGAGAGGTAGACCGCCCAAGGTCCGAGATCCCAACGACCCGCCGCCCAAGAGAGGTAGACCACCCAAACGACCACCTGTTGTTCAGGAGGAGGACCAAGGCCAAGGTGCTGCTGCTGAGATCTTTGTTGAGCAGGCTGGTGCAGCTCCAATAGCCATCCCACCTGTGGAAGAAGAGGTTGAGTTGGGGCCAGGGCAGGACATGGTCCTTCAGCCTGTGGTTGACAATCCACCTCCACCTACTCGTAGCACCTTTGCAGGGAGAACCAAGTCTGGGTCTGAAGAGTATCAGAACCAATGGATGGGCCGACGTGAGATGTACTACAAGTTTGTGCCTGTAGCATTTTGGAAAGACCCTTCCGAACGCCAGTATTGGACCTTGTGCAACACCATTGGTGACAAGGACAAAGCCATGCAACAATTCCTTGATCAGATTGGTGTCAAACGTGGACCTCCTGCTCCAGCACCCAAAGCTGCCGCTGTGCCCAAGGCCAAGTGCAAAGCCAAGGCACAGGCCAAAGCACAGGCCAAGAGGAAGGCTGAGAAGAATTCTGGTCCTGGGCGACGGCCGGGTGTGAAATCATCCAGGGGCAAGGCTGCATACCGGTAGACACCGAGGGGATTTTGTGAAAGAACATTTGGCGAAGTCCAACTGTTGGGTGTGGAAAGGTGATAACATCATTCCAATGGACTTGAAAAGTCAACAATGCTAATTGCCATGGGTACCCATCAACTGGGTTTGTGCTGCTTGGATCATCCCAAAGGGGTGACTTGGGATAGATCCCGCTGCAGCTGGATGTGAAAAATACCATGTGCCCATATGCCCACTGTTGCCACCGACTGCTGCTTATAGTCATCTGAGTTTGGAATTCAAGTTTTGGATTAACTTAAACTGTTTGGACCCTGGGACGACTTTGTATCAACAGATATGACCATAAGGAAAAGGATTCTTGACATTTTGGAGTTACTGTGTTGAATTTGCGATTCAATTGTGTTGATATCAGCTCATTTGTGCCCTGCTAGTGTGTTGCTCGATATGAAGGTTTTCCCTTTAAGACCATGATCAAAGACAATTACAAACCTATTGAATAATAACAATGGGATGGACTTCAAGTTTTGGACCATTGAACCAATCGATATGACTCTACTTAACAAGTGATGTGAATCTACTTATCAATAAGGAATATGGTTATGAATTCTGACTCATTTCAACTGCCTTGTCCTAATTTCATGCCGCTGGAGCTTCCTGATGATGACCTGGGACCAGTGATTTCCACTGAGCCATTGCCCACCCAGAAGCCTCACCAGAAGTCTCGCAAAGGGAAGCGCTCCAGATCATCGAAAAGGAAGATTGAGCCAAGCACCTCAGTGGCCGATAACCTTCCATCTGATGATGATGGGCCTCCTATGACAGTGCCAGGGTATGAACCCACTGATTGTTTTTCTGGTGCTCTTCTACAATATGATGATGAAAGGCTGAAGCTGGCTGCCCAGAAGATTCCAAGTCAGGTGCACCATCCCTTTGATGATTTGAGGGAACTGCTGAGTGACTTGAAGCCGCCAAAGGGCCCGCGGTGCACTCTTTGGGAGGTATTTTCATTACCTCGACTTCAGCCTGTGATTACCAAATTGGGAGGTCGCTGCACTAGGTCCTATGATCTTCGCAACTTCTTTGATTTGGGAGAAGCAGCTATGCAAAGGACATTGTTTCAGGATATTGCTATGCTACAGCCATTGGCTATCTTCCTGTCCCCGCCATGCACTTGGGTTTGTGCACTGCAGCATTCGAACTGGGGGCGTATGGCCAAGTCGAAGAGGGTGCTGAATCTGGTACAAGCCTTGATGCTTATTGACCTGGCTATGTGGATTGCAGAGCATCAAGTCTCAAGTGGCAACTACTTTGGATTTGAACATCCTGCAGGAAGTTTAGCTTGGAATCGTGCAAGCGTGGCCTGATAGCATTCATTTTTGGACAACCATCAATCTTTCAGATTCCATATCTCACTGACTGAATACCTTTTTTTTTCTGGGTCTATCTATTCTTGTCATTCATGACAGTCATTACCACAGACCAAGATTGCACACTCTCCATGCTCAGGTAACCTTTGTCCAGCGCCACAGCAGTGTGAGGATCGCTGAGTTCGACCAATGTCAGTTTGGTTTGGAGTCAGTTCAAACCAAAACACCAATCAAGAAGCGCACCAAAGTTATGACCAATTCAGATGAATTGATGAAGGCCCTACATGGCCAGTTTTGTCCAGGAACCCACACACATCAGATCATTTCTGGTAGTGAGGGTGGCCTCAAGCGTTCAACAGCAGCGCAGGTGTACCCTGATCGTTTGTGCATCACAATTTGCAAGGCACTCATTGCTCAGGAGGCTAAGCATCCAAGGTGAGCCAATCCAATGGCCTGCCCTCAGTGAAGCTGAGATCAAGAAGGACCATGGCGGACAAAGCATGGATATGGGCCTGGGCTTGGGTCAGGGAGTTGCCAAAAAATAAAGGATTTACCAGCCCCTTGATTCAGGGTCAGGAAATCACAGATTTAGAAAGTTTTCATCCGAAAACTTTCTAAATCGGGGGGTCTGAGGATGACATCGTAGCGACCGGAATCAACCATCTCGAAAAAACATCACAATAATATGATGTCATTGCATAACTCACTTTGCAACATAAAGACTTGAAGATCTGCAGATTTCAATTGAAAACTTGCTAAACTCACTAGGGAACCACCACCAATGCAGAAGTCAACATGTCAATATTGCACTTGGACTTCTGCACTGACCCTGGCCTGCCCTAGAGTTTAGCAAGTTTTCATTTGAAACCTGCAGAAGTCCACTTCTCAAAATTGCAATTGGACTTCTGCAAGGCTAGCAAGAAATTGCAAGATTCAAGTTTGCAAAAGATTTTGGATCAAGTCACCTTTGCTGGGTGGGCTGGGCGATACTTCAATGGCTGACCAAATGGCATCTTTGTCTGTGATTATGTGGTAGCAACACTCGAACTATTGACTTGTTGTTTCATGTATCCATGACAAGATCTCTGCACTAACATAATGTCATGTGGTTTGTACTTGAAAGAAGGTAAACACATTGTACAAGTCAATAATATTGCATTGTTGATAATAATATATGCATATTGTAATGTGAAGGTTCAACGTTACACATCTGGGGTCAAGCCAACCAAACCCAGTTCCACCGCCCAAGGAAGATGATGAGATGCTATTTGGTCTAGAAGTCAAAGATGAGAAGTCGGACCTTTGATTTCTTTCAGAAAGTCTATCATCTTTGTTATTATATGATTATGAGAAGTATTCAAACAATACCTGAATTGTGAACCATGGCCTACCTTCAGTTTTCCCACCAGTCCTGGTCCCAGGATGATGACACCACCATTTATGATTATGACATGGTGAACGCCAAGCTGCCCAAAACCGAAGATGCTACTGCCAAGACACTGTCGCTCACCACAGCATCTGTGGGTGGAGCCTCTGGGGGGGGTTCAGATGCAGTGATGTCACCATCGGCAATGGGGACTAGTACTGCTTTGTACATAGATGCAACTACAGATGAGGGGGTGTTTGACTTGATCCTGAAAGAAATCAAAAGTGCCTTGACCCCAAAAGGCACTATGCTTTGAGAGGTTAATGGGCATGAGACTGGTTTCAAATCAGTTTGAACTTGTCATATGAAATGTTGCTGGGACTTCAAATGAGAAGCAATGTTCCTAGGTGCTGGTGGACCTCGTCAGTTGATTCACAACCACTTCCCACTAGCTGCTTCGCGGCCGGAACAACTTGGCGCTCTACTTGAGAAGATGGTGCCACCTTTGCCAACTCAATCCTATTTAGAGAAATACCCGATTCCTGCTTGTTTCCCTGGCTACTTGATGGGAAGAACCAGTTTGGGGTGTGTTGAGTGAGGGTCATCAAAAGTCAAATATCTTGGACCAATTGAAATCCTTTTGAAATCATGTCTCTTTATTGTTTGTGACTCAGTCTCAATTGAGATGTTGATCAAACACTGTAAGGTCAAGAGAATCAGCAAGAGCCCATCATTGTCCAGCTGTGCCACTTTAGTGCAGAAAACTGGGCATCGTTGAGAGAACCACCGACCTTACATGTGGCAAGCCAATTGGTGTGGCAATTCTGTGCAGATGGGTTTGTATCCCATGATGAACCGGTCATGATCAGGATCAAGGACATTCTCCAGAGCTAAAAGTATAAACATGTAATGGTCCAAAACTGATGAATAAAGATTCTGGTTTTGAAATGACCCATGATTTTGGGTTTAGCTTGATTTGACACCTTGGTTATTGTTCCTCTGGTCATTGTCCACTTACCCAATCTTGCCTTCAGGACAGCAGCCTTGGACATGATGGTCCAATTGCATTTGGCAGCATTGGATTCCTCAAGGGTGCGGCAAGGGTGACAACTGCCATTGCAATTGTGGTGTGCTGCTCTTCCTTGGGGATCCAGGTGCCCTCATGGGCTGTGGGACTGAATGGAAATGTTTAATATTTCATGTTGACAACTGTAAAATATACAATAATTTGGGTATTATTTAAATGTTATTAATAATTTGGTATATATTTGCTGGCAGGTGCCAGCTGTCCTACGTGAATCGCTCCAATCCATCAAGTGCAAGCATATCCGGCTTAGCAGTCGCACAGATGAGCTGCTACTTTGACCTAATCAATGGTAATTTTTGTGGTGATATGTGGTGTGTGGCATCTAAACACAAAGGACCCATATTCTATGTGCCTTGACCCTCTTGCCAGGTTCTTCAACATGAAGAAGTCTCAGCGAGGTTCCATCAGGAAAGCCCCGTCAGCAATCTCTTGGGTGGTCTCATTGAGGAACACATTTGCTGGAAACAAATCTCTGGACCCAGCAGGGATCATCAAGCAATGGATACTTGGTGCCCAACTTATTGTTATATTTTTTGCATGAGGAAAAACACCACATGATCATCAATGACAACCAGCTGTCATAGAAATATAGCCTTTTCAATTGGTCATTGTTCTATGTTTTTCCATCTTATTGCACTTGAGGAATGGCATTTGTGCTCGCAGTGACCGGCTTGTTGGGGCAAAGGCTATGAGTGTCACCAACTTGTTCCAGCTACCTGAGAAGTGCCTTGATATCATCCTTGACACTGTTTCGATCTATGGATGGGAAGGTTTCTTGTCATCATTATTGTATCAGGCACATGTTCTGATAGTACCCAGGTAGGTCAACAAGTAACACTTATCCCAGCATCCTCAAGTCTTATCCCCAAACCATCAGTCAGGCTGTCCCTTCAGCGATGAGTCCTTGCAGAGCAAGAAGCTGCTGCCAAGCTTCAACCACAAAAGTGCGCGTACCCCGAAAGGATCACCTTGGCAGACTAGACTGAGAAACACTCCGGAGAGTTGCCTTCTGACCTTCCAGATGGTTGCTAGCAGATGGTCTGGCCTGAAGAACATGGAACGTCGAAAGCCATTGAGCCGCACACAACTGGAAGAGAAGTGTGCTGTGTGTGCTCTTGCGTGTGCCTAGCTACTTTTATTAGTATTGTTTTGCAATCCTGTCCTTTTTGTCCCAATGTTACCACACACTCAGGGTTAGATTTGAAAGTTCTCAGTTGACAAAAACCTTAGGCGCTGTGGTTGATGAACTTGCTGTTCAAATCCCAAACGTGGAGGCAGTGCTCCAAGAGAAGTGCCTTTGACAAATGTCCATTGATATATTTTGGAAATATTCCCTTGTCCATGGATACCAAAGTCCTATGACCCAAACTAGATGAGCCCCAAAACCCTGTGCCAAACTGGATCCCACCTTACCCTGTTGCCAAGAAACTGGATGAGGTTCTTGAAGCGCCTGCAGGGTGGTGATGCTGTTCTGGAGATGGATCTCCTTGGTGCTGTGGAGGCCAAAGAGGAGTTGTGGGTTCCACGTGAGAATGCATGTGCCTTGGACAAAATGACCCCACAATCATGATAATATCTATAACTATCATATAATCATGAGAATTTGGGGCCTTTTAGTGAAATCCCAGGTGTCATGGGTCTACTCAATGAGCTGTCCGTGGACAAGAAGGATCCTTCTCTGGCCGCTACCGACCTTGATGGGGCAAAGCTTGTATTGGATACTTCAGCAATGCGACTTGTCATTCAGGAGTTGGAATATGATGAGCAATGCCTTGATGCTTATTTGTCAAAGCTGGACTCCTACACCATCCGACTTACCCGCCAAAAGCAGGAATGGATCCACAAGAGGATGGACCGTGCAAAAACCAGTGTGAACAAATGGTTTGATGCCAAGGTTCGCATGTTGAAAAGTCATTGCATCATGTTTTAACCTCAGCATGCCCAGTGGGTTTTACTCATAAGACCCATAAGTACTCCATCCCTGTTTTACTCATAAGACCCATAAGTACTCCATCCCTGACCAGGTCATTTCCCATTGCTGGCCAGAAAAAATTGATGGGGCTGCTGCCATTAACATGATGCAGCAGATTGAGGACTCGGCCAAGAAGTGGATGCAACAGCTCCAGCTTCGCACCACTGTTACTCATGACTGACTTAATTATTTGTGTTTTGTAAATGTTCTACTGTGAGTGTATTGTATCCCCCTACTGTCTGGTCTGCTTTTGTTTTGTACTGATCAGTTTTTGGCCAACTTATGGTGAATTTCTTTCATCTGAGGCCTTCCTCTTTGTGACCAACTTTGCTGCGCCCTCGCTTCTGAAGAGTGAAATTGTACCTTGTGTTCTGAACTTGGTTGGCCACATGATGAGTTCTCATGCCGAGACCAGTGCTGGGGTATTCTTGAGTCCAACTTTCATTTGGAAGGGAACTCTCTTCCAAGAGGAGTTTGGACTACTCAGAACGCTCAGCTCAGCAGGTTGCGTAGTGGACACAAACTTCCAACTCCTCTTTGACATCAAGTCCAAAGTTGTTTCTTGGCAACATATCCAGTAAGACTTTATAAGATCTGTTTGTCACCTTTGTTGAAAACTAATTGGCTGGCAAAAATAAAACATTGGGCCATTTGTTGTTGATTGCATTGATCCTAGGATGCACGTGACCTACGTCCATTGGCCTACCCTGGGCGCTTTCTGGGACCTATGGCATCCAGCTTGACAGGTGAGTGGTTGTGGGCATCTTCAGTGCTCCAAAAGTCTCGACGCACTCTGGGGGAAGCAAAGCAGGTGCCATCCAAGAACATGATCTTTATGGAAGACCTGTCCCCAACCTCGTTGCCATCCATGACCTCTACAATCCATGGTGCCCAGAAGCATGCCCAGATCGGATCTGATGCAGCTGAGAAGCTTTTGCGTTCAGCTGTTGATCCTTGGCATTGAACAGTTTGGGCAGGGTACTCAGGAAGACTGGAATACCAATGACCAAACATGTCCATTGATATTCATGATACTTTCATGAACAAATACTATGAGACAACATTTTGTCATATTCCAACTTTGAAGTCTGTCTTCATTCTGAGTCATGCTGAACAATTTGTTACATATTTGATGCACATCAATCTCAGGATGGAGTGTCGTTTCCATCAACAATGGGATTGGTGGTGGTGGACTTGGTGCCAAACGTGGGGCATTGCCTGGAGGGATTCCAACGACTGGGGGACCACATCAACACACCGGTGTGTTACATGCCAGTGTATTCGGACATGTCCCACAAGGAATGGAGCGATGCCTTTTGGTCCAGTGAATTTATCTCCCTGTTCCAAGCTGGTCAGTTGTCGGTCCCTGGATGTGAGAGGCTGGGTTCATGATCCTTCATGATGGTCATGTTCATGTGTTTTTGATGTTCATGATTCATCCCACTGTTTTTTTAGCAAATACTGGTTACATGTATATTCCTTGTCTTGAAGCCCCTGCAGGCTTCAGGATGATCCACCTGCTGAACACTTGGAAGCGCCACCAGAGCCCCCGGCATTGAAGCAATGCACTTATGGGAAGGCTGGTTTTGGGCCTTGGGTGATTTGGGGACTGTTTGCAAATTGAGTTTTTAAAGATTTCAAGTCTGTAGTTTTGGATATTATGACCTGTGGTAACCCCTTTCAGGTTGATGGCACAATTGTGACCTTGGAAGTCCCTGATGGGATTCTGAAGAAATATGATGCCATGCCTGAGTTCAAGACCTACCATGATGGATTCCTTGTACGCCACCCACCAACCAAATCTTTCAAGTCGCCTGCCAAGAAGAATACCAAGGACACTGCAGGCACTACCACCCCCTTGCCTACCAAGAAGCGTCCTCGTGAAGAAGATATCTCTGGCTTGCTCGTTGATGCCAGTGCTGTGGAGCCTGATGGGGATGAAACTCTTGTTGAGGTTCCGGTGGTGAATGCCCGAGCAGGTGAGAAGCTATCGACCATGCCCATCCTTCGTGTCACGCAGAAAGTGGGACCATATATTCTGAATCAAACAGGTCATAATGTCCTTTGACTGAAAGTATTTTCCCATTTGATTGGAACTCATTATCTCAATATTATGATGTTTGGGGATCATCGTATCATGGACAACCATAGAAACAGCATGGCAATTGAATGAAACAAAAGTGATTATTATTTGTTGGAACTATGACTGGTTTCTTTCCAACCTGAGGTCACCTTGCACCGAAGTGCTGTGCTATGTGGCTTTGGCAAGACAAAGTTCCGGGAGGCTCCCCAGGATGAGTCCCAGATTGACAATGACAAAGAAATCATGTTTGAGGTGACTCCTCAGACTTATGCAATTCTTGATGGCAAGTTTGCTACCATAGGGGAGCACCTGGTTGCACTTGATGGTTCGAAGCCCAATGCCGCGAAGATTTCTTACCACAAGACTTCGAAGAACCCAGATGGTGCCTTTGAGCTGGAGAAGGATTGGGGGGTAACTGGTCACTGATTTCATTTCATGGTTTCAATTAGTGGCCCTCAGAATCAGTATCAATAATCTGACCCTGAATTGGACTTGAATCAACCACCAAAAAATGTTACAACCCTGACTAGCTGTGATACCTGCAGGAGCACAGTGTCCTCTGCAGCATCATCAAGGAAGATGAGTCTGTGAAGTTGAACCAGAGCCAAGCCGGTAAATTCTTGACGCCCCCTGCTGCCTGGTTGACAAAAACAACAACCTTGGGCTGGCAGTTGAAGCAAAGCCTCAATGGGCTTCAGCCACAGCGAGCCCTGATTTTGATGGTTCAGGATGTTACGATCCCAGCTGGGAAAGCCTTTTTGATTCAGTGATCTCAAAACCAAAGAACCTGAGAATCATCCATAGAACCCAGAGAATGAACCACCCAAAGGAGGCCATGTGGCCATGAGAGAACCTTGAGATCACTAGATTTTGCTTGAACACGCCGTTCGGAGCTTGGAGACACAGAAATGGTTTCCATTCCTGGGATTGGAAATAGTTGGTGGTATGTTCATCCTATGCGTTGTGGTAAATGAGATGTTTGATCGACCTCAGAATCGCCCATCCTGCCCTGAGACCCCATGTCCCTGGTCATACCCTCTTCTGGCAGGCCACAACAAAACAGGCCTGTGAGGGGTGTGATTGTGGGGCCTGGGTTTTGGTCAGACCACATAATATATGGCCACATGTGCACCACACAGCTCCACCAGTCCTCCCCAAACCAAAACAAAAGCTCCGGCAACCCAGGGTCCACCACAAAACACACCCTCCATCACCATCCTGGTGATTTTGGAATTGGTCTAAAACAGCTCACCCACATGTTGTGGTCTTGAGGGCACGGCAGGTGCTGGGCAAAATTGGGTTGGGTTACTGAGAATTTCAGGTTATCATGTACGATACTATGACACCAAGTACGTGACACATGGCACATGCCATCAATAAACCTGATGGACACACATTCAGTGGGAAAGGTGAATGGTTTGTTTTGAGATGTCCAAATTGAGCTGGATGTTCAGCTGTTATATAAACTATTAGGAGGGTTCATATTGTCAACCAACATCCTCTGATTTCGTGATGTCAAAACATTTTCCATGACGTGCATGTGGCCAGGCTCTGCCTGGGAGCAGGACAGTGGTGGAAAGGAGGGTGGATTTGGCTCTGGAGTTGTGGGGTGAAGAATTCCCTTTAAGATCTAATGGTCCATCAGGATCAATATGGCTATCATCTTTTTACACTCATGGTGGAATCCTTGGGTGTAGTCCAGAGTGTCAAGCAAGAGTGTATAGAGTGTCAAGCAAGAGTGTATAGA